CCATGCTGGACCAAAACTTTGAAACGTTTATAGCCCCCCATCAGTATATTGAGAACTTTCAGAGCCCCCCCCTTTAATGCCAGAAAATATTTCGGTGCCCCCCTTAACATCTTCATCCCCCCTGCCTCTGCATAATAAATGGCTTAATTTATATAGCATTTCCTTAATAAATGGCTTAATTTATACAGCATTTCCAGCCCATGGCTTAATTTATACAGCATTTCCTTCTTAATTCCAAAGTGTTCCATTTCAACTCTTTTGTCATTTCTGAAACACTTGATGTTCGTTCGTAATTTCTTAAACAGAATCGTGCCACTGATCTCTGAACTTTTTCAATAATACCAACGTCTTTCTTGTAATAAGGGTCCCATGCAGGAGACGCATATTCCAGCTTTGGTCTCACTAGACTAGCTCGCCTTGGTGTAATTTTCGCGTTTCCTGCATTATTCCAGTCTAGTTCATTATTCCAATCGGGTTCACTTTTTGACCGTTCCAACTTTCGCCCTATCTCAGTTTTGGCCGTTATCTCTAAGATACTTGAACGCCATGTTCATAATTCTTTTTATCACTTCCTAACTGAGTATAATCTTCTTTTTGAAAATCAGTTTGGGTTTAGAACATCTCGCTCATGTGAATTAGCAGTCACTCATCTTACTGATAAAATTTTAACTAATATTGATAACAAAAAATTAAATGGACTTCTTCTTGTTGATTTCAAAAAGGCTTTTGATCTTGTTGATCATGAAATCCTAATTCTGAAACTTAGAATGTTCGGATGTTCTCCATTAGTATTGAAATGGTTTACGTCATATCTTAGTGATCGTTATCAACGCACTTATTTTAAAATAGGTGTTCCTCAAGGAAGTATTCTTGGCCCCCTTCTTTTTATATTATTTATCAATGATCTCCCTTCTCAACTTTCACATTCAGAATCCACAATGTTTGCAGATGACACCACCGTTCTAACAGAAGGTTCTTCCATTCATGATTTAAATGTGAAACTTAACCTTGTTGCTCAAGATCTCTCAAGATGCGCCAACATGGCTGCCAGCTTAGCTCCAAAGCTCTTCATTGTTTTAATATTTTTAAACTTATTAACGCAAGTTACCTTATTTAAATGGGTGATCTATACGCATAAAAATATTGTATTCAAGGATCCTGTTGGACTGATCGTGGATGGTTTAGTTTCAAAGAGATACGGCCTCATTTTCCCGATCAACTATCACCGTATAATTTTGAGGCGATCAAACTATGAATCGAATTTCAGAGTCTCGCGTACGGTCAGCAAATCAACAAAACATGGTTATACAAGCCTTATACTACCAACAAAACCTTTCAAAACGGACTTAACGATATGTGTTGATATATCCTCAAATCCTGGTCCTGAAATCAGCGAGAGAAATACATGTAGATCAGCCAAGCAATCCTCAAAGTGCGCGTCGTCATGCTTGAATGCCGTCAACGCAAACAATGTTTATAAGCCGTCATTCCTTCGAAGTCTTCGTTCGTCGCCTTCCTCTAAGTATATAGACACTTCTCTTTATAATTGCCTTGTTTCCCTCGGAATCTTGAGACCATTTCGAGGTTGTCGCAGTGGAAGGAGAGTGAAAGAACGCAATGCTTACCTTCGAGATCAAAACATTCCTCGTGCACAACATGGTCGCCAAATTTGCATATCACCTAATCAAAACAATACACCCTCGTATAATCACCCCTCGAGCTGTTTTGCAGACATCGCGTCATTACAAACATCAAGACGCAGTGAGTTTGTTCCTAGCCAAGTTGTCCAACCCAATACGAGGAACTTAAATAATCTGATTTTAATCAGACCAAACAAACCTGAGAATCACAATTTAACTTGCGCGGATCAACCGATTGAAACGGACAGTATATCAGTCAACACCGGCCTTATAAAAGTTATCCATCTGAACATACGCTCACTTCGGAATAATGTCCACCTTATCCAACTTCGAGAACTAGTGCGTTCAGCGAAATTTGACATCATCACCATTTCTGAAACGTGGCTTAACACGAGCGTGACATCAGCCGAGGTAAACATTGACGGGTATAAACTTATTAGACTTGATCGTCTACACAAGCGAGGAGGAGGAGTCTGCGCGTATATTCGCAAAGATTTCAAAACTGTAATCTTGAAAGATCTATCTTACATATCTGAACGCAACTTTCACCAGTTGTGGATCAGTGTACAGTGTAAAAAGACAAAATCAGTCGTAATTTGTGTAACGTACCGTCCGGATGATTCCCCACTAAGCTCGTTTGATAATGTTCTCAAGCCAAGTTACATCCAAGCACTAACGTTAAATAAGCCGATTGTAATACTCGGAGATTTAAACTGTGATGTGTTAAAACAGAATTGTCCAGAATCCAAAGCATTGATCAACTTTGCTAAAGAAATGAACCTCAGCCAACTTATAAAGTCTCCTACACGAATCACCAATACCACTCAATCCTTATTAGACGTTGTATTGGTCTCCTCGAACTCGCTAGTACGTCGTAGCGGTGTTTTAAATACAACAATAAGTGACCACCTTCCAGTCTATGTCGATTTCAAGCTGAAATCTCGCAAACATCCTCCCCATTACATAACCGTTCGTAGCTACAAGAACTATTCGCCTAGTTTATTCATAACTGACCTCGCCAGAAGCTCACACGACAGCTTATTATCTATTTTCAACGACGGTGATGTAAATAGTATGTTAGACACATTCAACCAAACCATCCAATCTACTCTAGACTCGCATGCTCCTATAAAGACAGTCAAAGTACGTAGCCGTCCTTGTCCGTTTGTAACTCAG